TTGATCCAGTCATCTATTTTTGGGCATTTGGGTTGTTTCCAAAGCTTAGCTATTGTAAATAGTGCTGCTATAAACATAGGGGTGCAGGTGCTCTTTGGAATTGATGTTTCTGTGTCCTTTGGGTAAATACCTAGGAGTGGAATTGCTGGATCATATGGAAGCTCTATGTTTTAGTAGGTCCAGAAATCTCCACACAGCTCTCCATAGTGGTTGGACCAGTTTGCACTCCCACCAACAGTGCAGAAGAGTTCCTTTTTCTCCACACCCTCGCCAACATTTGTTGTTGCTAGTTTTTTTAATATGTGCCATTCTCACTGGTGTAAGATGGTATCTCATGGTAGTTTTGATTTGCATTTCCCTGATTACAAGTGATGTTGAACATTTTTCATATGCCTGTTGGCCATTTGCATTTCCTCTTCAGAGAAGTTTCTTTTTAGCTCTTCTGCCCATTTTTTGACTGGATTATTTTCTTTGTTGTTGTTGAGTCTCATCAGCTCTTTGCAGATTTTTGTGATCAGTCCTTTATCATTAGTGTTGTGTGCAAAAATGTTCTCCCAGTTGGTGGGGTTTCTCTTTGTTTTGGTTATTGTCTCTTTTGCTGTGCAGAAGCTCTTTAATTTGATGTAGTCCCAGCTGTTTATCTTTGCCTTCACTATCACTGCTTTGTGTACCCCAGTTCTTGTATGCATAAATAAATAAATCTTTTAAAACAATGCATAGGAGACTTGAATGTAAGACCTGAAACCATAAAATATATAGAAAACATAGGCAAAACATTAAGACATAAACTTCATAAACACCTTTGAGAACTCATTTCTAGTAGCCAGGGAAACAAAGGAGAATATAAACACCTGAGCCTATCAAACTAAGGGAGAAAGTGATCAAAATGAAGAGACACCCCACTAAATGGGAACAAATATTTGTATACTGTACATTTGATAAGGGACTGATATTGAGTATCTACAAAGAGCTCAAATAACAAAACAACCCAATCAAAAAATTGGCAGAAGAGTTAAATAAACACTTTTCCAAAAGAGAAATGCAAATAGCCAAAATGAAAAAATGTTCATCAGTTGCCATCAGGAAAAGGCAAATTAAAGCCACAGTGAGATACCACCTCACCCTTGTGAGAATGGCCCATATTTAAAAAACCAGAAACAGCAAGTGCTGGTGAGGATGTGGAGAAAAAGGAACCCACCTTAACACTGATAATGGGAATATAAGCTGGCCAGGAACTATGGAAAGCTGTGTGCAGGTTCCACAAAACACTAGAAATGGATCTTCCATATGACCTAGCTATTCTGCACCTAGGAATCTATCCAAAGAATGCAAAAACACTAATTCAACAGAAAACCTGCACTCCTGTGATTATTGAAGCACTATTTACAATGACCAAGATATAGAAACAACCTAAATGTCCCCAGATGAATGGATCAAGAAGATGTGGTGTGTATACACACACTCTCTCTCATTCTCACACACAGAGTGGAATATTATTCAATAATCAAAAAACAAAGTCTTGCCTTTTGCAGCAGTATGGATGGAACTGGAAGGGTTGATGCTAAGTGAGATAAATCAGGAAAGATCTAAATATCAGATGGTTTCACTTGTATGTAGAATATAGAAAAAGCAAACAAAGGGTCAGACAAGAAGTCAAGAAAATAATCTCAGGCCTCCCCAGTGGCACAGCAGTTGAGCGCTGGGTTGCGAAGCTGCCCGCAGCCTCTGCAGTGCCAGTTCGATCCCTGGCTGCAGGGTGAGGGGTCCCACATGGCGCGCAGACCTCTCCTGCTGCCCACTGCTCCCCTCAGCAGTATACTTTGGTCCTTCTGCCTGTTCTGCTCCCTGCTCTGGCTCTGGTGAATTCTCTCGCCTTCCCGCGCTTCTGACTGTACCCAGTGCTTGTATAAATAAATCTTTAAAAAAAAAAAAAACTTGAAAAAAAAGAATCTCATTTACAATCACATCAAAAAGAATTAAAAGCCTACAAATAAACTTAACAAAGGAAGTGAAGGACCTGTGCACCAAAAACTATAAGACATTGTTAAAAGAAGTAAAAGAGACAAGGAAGTGGAGAGAGATTTCCTTCTCATGAATTAGAATAAATAACATTGTAAAAATGACTCTCTTAACCAAAGCAATATACAGGCTCAGTGCAATCTCTATTAAAGTTTCAAAGGTATTTTTGAAAGAAACAGAGCAAACATTGCTGAAATGGGTATGGAACCACAAAAGACCCCAAATAGCCACAGAAATCATGACAAAAAATACAAAAGTATCACACTCCTAGATTTTAAACTGTGCTACAGAGCTATAGTAATTAAAACAGTATAGCATTGGAATAAAATAGAACAATTAGAATTGAGAGCACAAAAATAAGTGCACATTTATATGGACAGTTAATATGTAGCAAAGGAGCAAATAGTATGCAACGGAAAAATAAAGTCTCTTCAACAATTGGTACTGGGAAATCTGGACAGCCATATGCAAAAGAATGAAACTTAGACCACTTTCTCACACCAAACACAAAAATTTACTCAAAATGGATTAAAGAGTTGGATGTAAGACCGTAAACCATAAAATCATAGGAAAAAACATAGGTAAACACTTCACAATACTGACTTCAGTAATGTCTTTGGGTACTCAAACTGCAAGAGAAGACAAAAGCAAAAATAAATAAATGGACTATATCAAACAAAAAGTTTCTGCACAGCAAAAGAAGCTGTCATTAAAATGAAAAGAAATCCTACAAACTAAGATATAATATTGCATGCTATACATCCAACAGAGACTGATACTCAGATTCTACAAAGAACTCATCCACCTCCAACCAATCATAAAATGGGTAGAAATGCTGAATAAGTATTTCTCCAAAGAAGATACAGGTGTCTATCAGCATATGAAAAAATGCTTATCATCATGTGTCATAGGGAAAATGCAAATCAAAACCACAGTGAGAAAGCATCTCATACCTGTGAGAATGGCCCATATCAAAAAGATATGGAACCAACAAGTGTTGGTGAAGGTACAGAAATAAAGAAACCATTGTATACGGAGAATATAGACTAGTGTAAATCCCATGGAAAACAATATGGACATTTCTTGAAATATCAAAAGTAGATCTGCCATACTATCCAGCAATTCCACTCATAAGTAGCTACCTGACAAAATTAATTTGAAGAGAAATCTGCACTCCTGTGTTCATTGCAGCACTATTTACAGGAGCCAAGTATGGCCACTTAGCCAACCTAAGTGGCCAACAGCAGATGAGTCAATTAAGGGTATGTGATATGTGTACACACACAGAGAATACTATTCATTAAAAAATAAAATCTTAACCTTTTGCAACAACATGGATGGAACTGTATGGAATCATGCTCAGCAAAATAAGTCAGAAGGGATGGTTTTCTTGATTTTTTTTCTTCTTCAGATCGGTTGTATATAGGAAGGCTACTGACTTTTGTGTGTTGATTTTGTATCCTGCTACTTTACTAAACTGGTTGAAACTAAACTGGTTAAAACTCCATTTTCTGTGGAGTTTTTAGGGTTTTCTATATGTATTACCATATTGTCTGCAGATAGTGATAGTTTTACTTCTTCTTTCCCTGTTTGGATTCCCTGTATGTCTTTTTCTTGTCTTACTGCTCTGGCAAGAACTTCCAATATTGTGTTGAAGAACAGTGGCGAGAGTGGATATCCTTCTCTTGTTCTTGATCTTAAGGAAAGGATTTCAGCTTTTCACCATTGAGAATAATATTGACTGTGGGTTTGTCGTATATGGCTTTTATCATGTTAAGGTATGTTCCTTCTATCCTGAGAATTTCAAGGGCCTTCACCATAAATGGATGTTGAGCTTCATTGAATGCCTTCTTGGCATCTATTGATGTGATCATATGGTTTTTATTTTTCCTTTTTGTTGATGTGTTGGATTACGTTAATTGATTTTCAGATGTTGAATGATCCTTGTGCCGTTGGAATAAATCCCAATTGATCGTGATGTAGTGTCCTTTTGATGCACTGTCGGATTCTGTTGGCAAGGATTTTATTGAGGATTTTTGCCTCAGTGTTCATTAGGGAGACTGGCTTGTAGTGTTCTTTTTTGGTGTTGTCTTTGTTTGATTGGTATTAGTGTAATGATGGCTTCATAGAACAGTGTTTGGCAGGAGTCCTTTCTCAATTTTTTGAGAGTTTGTGTAGGATAGGCACTAGTTCGTTTAGGAACGTTTGATAGAATTCATTTGTGAAGCCTTCTGGTCCTGGGCCTTTGTGTTTTTGGGGAATGTTTTATTGTTTCAATTTCAGATGTGAAAAATTTAAATCACTTCAATGCACATGTTCCCACCTCAGATAAGATGAAGTGATGCTCTGTTTTCTTGTTTCAGCTTTCACAATAAAGCAAGTATCCATTTCGTCATTTATTTAGTGCTATGATTTTGCTTTTTGTTGGTGATTTCAGTTTAAAATGGACCCCATTACATAATATTGAAATGTTGTCTAGTGTTCCTAAGTTCAAGTAATTTATGATGTGCTTTATAGAAGAAGCAACTGTGATGTAACTTTCATTCAGATGTGAGTTGATTGCTAATCAGCAACATACAGAATAAGGGCAGAGGAATCTCACTAATCTGTACATCAAGCATTTACAATGCATCTTAAGTTGAAAATGGTCTGACTTCTATATCTAGCAGCCATTTTGTAGTTTCTTGTGCCACTTGCAGAATATAAAACAGCAATTAGAATATTGAAAAAGTAACTTTCTCTTGTATATCTGTGTCAACTTTTATGAATTTCAGTGTGTAGAAAAAAACCAAGTTCATACTTTCATTTGTATAAGGTGTGGAAAGTCTGTATTACTGTTATAATATCTTAAATATAATTGTTGGCTGTAGATGTTAATGAAAATTCCAAGTACTTTGTTACTTTGTGTCATATTATCAGATACATTGCTATGAAGATGTCATTTTAAACAAATAACTACTAGCCCTTTTCTTTCTCTTTAGTGTACTTGTCACCTTGTTACACCAATACCAGAGAGTTTGGTTTTATACATGAGAATCTTAATCAGAGCCGACTTGATGTAAGCTGTGACCTGCGGTCATCATGGCAGTTTGGTGATACAAAACTGGTTCACAATGAGGATCTGGAAAAAAAATTTACTTCTAAGAGGTAAGTTACTATGACCTAAAGAAACTTGAGATTTTCTTTATTTGTTTTTTCTATGAAGTTTTAAAAAATTTCTTTCTACCATTTCAGATTTGGTAAGTACTGCTGAGCAAGTACAGAGATTTGTTTGTTCGTTATTTTGTTGCCTTAGTCTTGTAATAGTGAAAAAGCAGATTTGATTAGTTTTGATTACTAAGTTTTGCACATCAATGTATCCAGATTTCAGACATTTCCTTCTAATTTTTTAATCTTAATAAATTTTTAAGGTGCACATCAGCACATGTACTAGGAAACCATGTTGTAGATCCTTTTTGCCACTTGCATAATATAAAACAGCAGTTACAATATTTAGAAAATAACTTTTTTTCTTGACCCAACCCTTCAGAGATTGTTAATTTTTTAATTTGGACAGATTATATCTTGCTATTTCCAATTATCCCACTAGGGCCACTATTTTGATACTTTATTTTTTGAAAGTATCCTCTTCTGCTTTTTTGGGAAAGTACATTCCATTTGTATTTTGATAAAGGAAAAAATAAAAGACCATGTACATAATTATCATCATAAACATTTTATACTTATAGGTATAATCTTGTATAAACACAATTTAGCATTTTCATTTTCTGAACTTGCCTCCTTTACCAACTTGCATTTTTTTTTTAAGAACTAAACTGTAGCTTGATGGACCTACCTTAGAACTCATTTTAGAATGTTTTTGGTTTCTTTTTTAATTTTAGAATCAGTTCCTCTTGACTCAAACATGCTACCCCACTTAGTGTCAGTTTGGGAAAGTTGATGGGACTAGCAGATTTAGTTGATAGCATATTCTTTCATCTCAAAACTACAATTTTGAGCAAAAGTTGAATATAATCAATATATCCTGCCCCTTCCAAATTGAAATAACACGTCAATCAAAAATTAATTCCTATCATTGTTCTTTGACTTTGGTTCTTTTAGGCATGTAAAAATTTTTCCCTTTTTTATAATGTACCCCTGCTCAACACTTACTTCATAGTTAGTTGTTTCTCCCTGTTAATGTTTCAGAAAAGTCAGAACTACCCAGCAATACATGTGTGAACCTTCTGAATGACTAATAAGTGCAGGATATATTGATTTCTTGGGATATATTGCAGGATGTATTGTTTTGCCCAGTTAGACAAGTTCATTTGTTTCCCATAGTACTTTATACTTGTTTTATAAGGCTTGCCATAATTTATTGGTTTTGTCTAATTCTCCTACTACATTGTCAGTTTTATCTTACTTGCTTTTTTTTTTTTTCCCTTGGAAATGATTTTATGTTTATTTTTTTTTTAATAATAAATTTTATTTTTATATTCCCCATACAATTGCAGCCCCCCATTCTGACCCCAATCCCTCCCCTCCCACCCCCGCCCCCCTAAAAGTGTCTCTGGTTCGTAGTTTTTTGTTGATTTTGATTTTCACTTTCTTATAGTTATTCGTTTTCCTGGTCCCTTATTTAAGTTTTCTAGATTCCTGCTATGAGTGAGACCATCCGGTATTTTTCTTTTTCTTTTTGGCTTATTTCGCTGAGCATGATCCCGTCCAGTGCCATCCATGTTGCTGCAAATTGCATGTGTTTATCTTTTTTGAATGCTGAGTAATATTCCATGGTATATATGTACCACATCTTCTTGATCCAGTCATCTATTTTTGGGCATTTGGGTTGTTTCCAAAGCTTAGCTATTGTAAACAGTGCTGCTATAAACATAGGGGTGCAGGTGTTCTTTGGAATTGATGTTTCTGTGTCCTTTGGGTAAATACCTAGGAGTGGAATTGCTGGATCATATGGAAGCTCTATGTTTAGTAGGTCCAGAAATCTCCACACAGCTCTCCACAGTGGTTGGACCAGTTTGCACTCCCACCAACAGTGCAGAAGAGTTCCTTTTTCTCCACACCCTCGCCAACATTTGTTGTTGCTAGTTTTTTAATATGTGCCATTCTCACTGGTGTAAGATGGTATCTCATGGTAGTTTTGATTTGCATTTCCCTGATGACAAGTGATGTTGAACATTTTTTCATATGCCTGTTGGCCATTTGCATTTCCTCTTCAGAGAAGTTTCTTTTTAGCTCTTCTGCCCATTTTTGACTGGATTCTTTTCTTTGTTGTTGTTAAGTCTCATCAGCTCTTTGCAGATTTTTGTGATCAGTCCTTTATCATTAGTGTTGGGTGCAAAAATGTTCTCCCAGGTGGTAGGGTTTCTCTTTGTTTTTGTTATTGTCTCTTTTGCTGTGCAGAAGCTCTTTAATTTGATGTAGTCCCAGCTGTTTATCTTCGCCTTCACTATCGCTGCTTTGGGTGATGTGTCTGTAAACATGTCTTTGATGTGCAAATCACGTAGTGTTTCGCCTATATTTCCTTCTATATATTTTATGGTTTCAGGTCTTATGTCTAGTTCTTTAATCCATTTTGAGTTGATTTTTGTGTATGGTGTGAGGTAGTGGTCAAGCTTCATTCTTTTGCATGTAGCGACCCAGTTTTCCCAGCACCATTTATTGAACAAACTTTCTTTGCTCCAATGCATAGTCTTTGCTCCTTTGTCAAAGATTAGTTGACCATAAATCTGTGGGTTTATTTCTGGATTTTCTATTCGATTCCATTGGTCTGTATGTCTGTTCTTGTTCCAATACCATGCAGTTTTGATGATTATGGCTTTGTAGTAGAGTTTGAAGTCTGGGAGTGTGATGCCTCCATTCCCTTCTTTTTTTTTCAGGAGAGCTTTGGCTATTCGGGGTTTTTTGTGATTCCATATGAATTTCATCAATAATTGTTCTATTTCTTTGAAGAATGATATTGAAATTTTGATTGGAATAGCATTGAATCTGTATATTGCTTTTGGAAGGATGGCCATTTTAATAATGTTTATTCTTCCAATCCATGAGCAGGGGATGTCTTTCCATTTCTTTGTGTCTTCTTCTATTTCTTTTAACAGTGTTTTATAGTTTTCTTTGTATAGGTCCTTTACCTCTTTTGTTAGATTTATTCCCAAATATTTGATTTTTTTTGTTTCAATAAAAAAGGGATGGTTTTTTTGATTTCTTCTTCTTCAGATTTATTGTTTGTGTATAGGAAGGCTACTGACTTTTGCGTGTTGATTTTGTATCCTGCCACTTTACTGAACTGATTGATGAGTTGAATTAGTTTTTCTGTGGACTTTTTGGGGTTCTCTATGTATATTATCATATCATCTGCAAATAGTGATAGTTTGACTTCTTCTTTTCCTATTTGGATTCCTTGGATGTCTTTCTCTTGTCTTATTGCTCTGACTAGGACTTCCAGTATTATATTGAAAAGCAGTGGTGAGAGTGGACATCCTTGTCTTGTTCCAGATCTTAATGGAATTGCTTTCAGCTTTTCACCATTGAGAATGATACTGGCTGTTGGCTTGTCATAGATGGCCTTTATGATGTTGAGGTATGTTCCTTGTATCCCAAGAATTTCAAGGGCTTTTATCATGAATGGGTGTTGCACTTTGTCGAAAGCTTTCTCAGCATCTATTGATATTATCATATGGTTTTTATATTTCTTTTTGTTGATGTGTTGGATAACGTTGATTGATTTTCGGATGTTAAACCATCCTTGTGTCCCTGGAATGAATCCTACTTGGTCGTGGTGAATTATCTTATGGATGCATTGTTGGATTCTGATAGCTAAAATTTTATTGAGGATTTTTGCATCAGTGTTCATTAGGGAGATTGGCCTGTAGTTTTTCTTTTTTGTGTTGTCCTTGTTTGGTTTTGGTATTAGTGTAATGTTGGCTTCATAGAACGTGTTTGGTATTGTCCCTTCTCAATTTTTTGGAAGAGTTTGTGAAGGATAGGCACTAATTCATCTCTGAATGTTTGGTAGAATTTATTTGTAAATCCATCAGGTCCCGGGCTTTTGTTTTTGGGGAGGTTTTTGATTACCATTTCAATTTCGCTGCTTGTAATTGGTCTGTTTAGGTGTTCTATTTCTTCTTTATCTAGCTTTGGGTGATTGTAGAGTTGTAGGAATTTGTCCATCTCCTCTAGATTGTTAAACTTGTTTCCATATAACTGTTCATAGTAGTTACTGATTATTCTTTTGATTTCTGCTGTGTCCGTTGTGATTTCTCCTCTTTCATTGATGATCCTGTTTATTTGTGCTTTCTCCCTTTTTTCCTTTGTGAGCCTGGCTAGGGGTTTGTCTATTTTATTTATTTTTTCAAAGAACCAGCTCTTGGTTTCATTGATCTTTTGGATTGTTTTTTCAGTTTCAATTTCATTTATTTCTGCTTTTGTTTTTATTATTTCTTTTCTTCTACTGGTTTTGGGGTTTTTTTGTTGTTCTTTTTCTAGATCTTTGAGCTTCGAGATTAGGTTGTTTCTTTGAGTTCTTTCTTGTTTCTTGATGTGAGCTTCTATTGCTATATATTTTCCTCTTATTACTGCTTTTGCTGCATCCCATACATTTAGGATATTGGTGTCCTCCTTGTCGTTCAATTCAAAGAATTTTTTAATTTCTTCTTTGATCTCCTCATTAGTCCAGTGGTCTTCCAGTAGTGTGGTTTTTAATCTCCATGAGGTAGGAAAGTTCCTTGCCTTCTTTTTATGGTTTATTTCTAGTTTGATGCCTTCATGGTCAGAAAAGATGGTTGATATGATTTCAATCTTGGTGTATCTGTTGATGTTTGTCTTGTGCCCCAGTATGTGATCGATCCTGGAGAATGTTCCGTGTGCGCTTGAGAAAAATGTGTACTCCGTTTTTTTTGGGGTTTAGTGTTCTATAGATGTCTGTTAAGCCCAATTGCTCTAGGTCCTTATTTAGAGCTTTGGTTTCTTTACTTATTTTTTGTCTTGTTGATCTATCCATTGTTGATAGTGGTGTGTTGAAGTCTCCCACTATGTATGTGTTTTCTCTGATGTCTGTTTTCAGAGAGGATAACAGTTGTGTGATATATTTTGGTGCTCCTTCGTTTGGTGAGTATATGTTAATGAGTGTTATTTCTTCTTGAAGTATTGTC